CAATGTAGATTCGATTTGTTTCATTTTGCTTAGTTCCGTTCCCAGCAACAGTTCGCGGTACAACTGATATCAGGAGGGTGTCAAGCAACCTGCATCATTCCCGGTAGTCGGCTTATGGTCAATCAGAGTGACGCAGACAATTTCCTTATGCGACCCTACATTTTTATTCGTACAAATAGCATTGTGCTTCCGATGGGGCATTGCGCTTATCACTGAAGAAGCAATTCCAAGCAACCCTTCTCTAAAACTTTCACTGTGAAAGATGTTCAAAGAACGTGGCCATTACAAGTTTGACAACGTATTCCGGGTTAATATAGCACCGCTCAAAATTTGGAATATGCGCAAAGGAATAAAATTCAAGGGGTGTCGCCCGGCATCGGGCGACATTGTCGCCAATGTGCTAAATGTCATGAGCGCGGTGAGATTCTCGACTATCTAAGTCACCCTTTTTTACGTGCGTATCCCCTCCACGAGGTGTTGCCCTCGCAAGGGGAATTTAGCCACAAAAAAGGCGTAACGCCTACGCAGAGCAAGGGAGGGCCCGACAGCTGGAAGGCGGAGAGAAATTTATGATTGATTAACACGAGGATAACAGTACGCTAGTTATAGTTAAAGGAGGATTTCATGATAGAACGAAGGTCGAAGAAGGGGAAACTTACCTAGTGGAGAGACAGGCGGACCCCCTAAGGGTGCGGACCACACGCAATTCGCATCGAAGGATATGTTCCTGGCGATATATTACAGTATGGCCTTCCCTTGGGCGCAATTGGCGTGGAACGCCCATCGCCGCAGCTGTATACGCGGCGATTGATTGGATAGTGATTATATCAGAGAGAGAGAGCGTTAGCATGGAAGAGGGCACAACAATGACAGCCATCAATGCGTAATTCAACGGGCAGGGATAGGGTCCTATGACCTTTCACATGGTTATTTCTTCATCCCTGCTTCACTGATCACCCTCCACCAATATTTCGAATAATTATCAAAGACAATGCCTTTTTGACTCTTCTGTGAAATGATTTTAAAGGAATCTTCCGCGGAAAAAGCTCCGCCTCCATTACCACAGAAAAACGATACCCCTTAGGCCCCTAGCCTCATGAGCATAGCAAAAAGAACGGAACATAAGCGTTAGTTTCGATAATACTAATCCTACACACAAGACAAAATGATCACTCTTTCCGTGGAAGATTCCTTTAAGGTATCGTTTTCTGTGGTAATGAGGGCGGAGCTTTTTCCGTGGAAGATTCCTTTAAAGCAACAGTCCAGGCAGGGTTTCAACCATTTGGTTTTCAAGTGGTGGAAACATGCCTCAGCCTGATTGGAGTTCATGGGAAATGTCACAAACTTCAAAACTTACCTCTGAAAGGCGTTGGAAGCAGTCGAAATCCTTCGAAGAGGGGCGGATCCACCGATCCGTGGTGGGGCCGCCTCCAAGCAGCTGTGCAGAGCGCGTGCTCGACTAGCGGTCGTTGCGGGACCGCCGCGCTGTATGAGGTCGATTCCATAAGAACGCAATTGAAGCGCTTCAATTACGATTGCTGGCAAATAGCCATGTATTTGCAAGCATGCATGGCTATTTGCCAGCAGTTGCAATTGGAGCGCATGTACTGCGGGCAGGTTCGGACAACTCGTCCAACACACGTCTCCCCCATCGCTAAACGGCAGGGGGAGTCCCTGTCTAAGCCCCTGCCCGACGTTTTTTTTCTACTTTTTCTTTCTCCATTGACCAACTTCTCACCTGCAACGTCATTATAGGTGGTCCTTACCCGCGAATTCGTTCCTGGATTGTTGCTTTAAGTTGAAGGAGTAGCGAATAATGTTGATCGAAGGCGGAGCGGGTTGATGGACCTCACT